TTAAGGCCTTGTTGAAAAAGGCTAGTGGTCGCCCCTCTTGCATGAGAACAGCCCCAACGCCTTGACCCGAGGCATCACACTCAATGATGAAATCTTTTGTGAAATCGGGCAGTGCTAATGTTGGAGGGCTCGCAACTGCCTGTTTCAATTGCTCAAAAGCTTGTTGGGCCTGGTTTGACCAATTAAAAGAGTCTTGTTTCAACAATTGGGTCAATGGGGTAGCTATTAGGTCGTAGTTTTTGATGAAGTGGCAGTAGTACCTGGACAGTCCCAAGAAGGCCCTCAATTCTTTCACACATTTGGGTTGCAGCCAGCCCAGTATACTGGAGATTTTATCTGGGTCAGCCGCTACAGTCCCCTTTTCTACAACATGTCCCAAGTAGTGAACTTGGTTTTGTCCAAAGGAGCACTTGGACTCTTTAGCAAATAGCTGGTGGGCCTCAAGTGTTGCAAGGGTGACCTGTAGATGGTTCAGATGTTCCTCCCAATTGGGGCTATAGACCAATATGTCGTCAAAGAAAACAAGGATGAATTTACGTAAATATGGCCGGAATATGTCATTCATCAAGGCTTGAAATGTGGCTGGAGCACTGGTCAGCCCAAATGGCATGACCCAGAACTCATAGTGGCCATCATGTGTCCTGAAAGTCATTTTGTGAACATCCTCCCTATGTACCCTTATTTGATGATACCCAGCTCGTAAATCCAGTTTCGAGAATATGGTGGCTTGACTGAGTTCATCAAGCAGCTCATCAATGACTGGTATCGGGAATCGGTCTTTAATGGTGATGCTGTTAAGGGCTCTATAATCAATACAAAACCGCCACGTCCCATCCTTTTTCTTGACTAATAGTACCGGTGACGAGAATGGGCTGTGGCTGGGCTGTATTATCCCTTGCTTAAGCATATCTTGAACTTGCTTCTCGATTTCAGATTTTTGAAAGTAAGGGTATCGGTAGGGTCTTACATTGGTCGGGGCTGATCCCAACATGAGGGTGATGCGGTGGTTATGCTCCCGGCGTGGTGGCAGTCCTTGGGGTTCTTTGAACACGTTGCCATAGTGCTGAAGGAGTTATTGTAGGTGGCTTTGGAAGTCTCTAGGCCCATCTGGGCTGCTGTTAGCTAAGGATGGCCTGGTCCAATTTGAGTCCATGTGCATGAATATGGGTTGATCTGGATCTCCTCTTTGCTTTGTCAGTGTTGCAAGACTGATGGGCCTYGGGCCCTTGCATGTTTGCCCTTGTAGATGGACTGTAGAGTTTCCTGATGTGAAGTCCATGGTGAGACGGGCCCAGTCGCAGACCATGGGTCCTAGCTGTCTTAACCAATGAATGCCTAGCACCACGCCCGCTCCACTGAGATGGAGAGGATATAGGTCCACTGCAAATTGATGACCTTGAATCTTTAGTGGTAGGCCCATGCAAATGCTATTGCAAGATAGGYTGTTACCGTTGGCCACATGAACCGTAAAGGCCGTTGTGGGTTGAACCGGAAGTCCCATTTTATCCACCAAGACTTGAGTTATGAAGTTAAGGGAGCTACCACTGTCTATGAGGATT